GGGGGGGGGGGGGGGGGAAGGTTGAAGGCAGAAGCATTCTCAACAAGTAAAACCCTGCAAGCAGTGATGTTTCTGATGTGCTGTAAAATATTATCTGCTGTTCAGTTCCTGGGTGGAGAGAGAGAAAGAACTGCTATAATGCTAAACAAGTAAAGAATCAGTTTATGTTTTTTGGGTTTTTTAATTTTGGGAAAGAAGTCTTTTCAAATTGTTACTTAAAAACTTCCAGCATTTTTGTTGCAGGCAAATTTTTTGGATTCTCCTATCATAAAACTACATATTACAACAAACAAACAAATAAATAAATAAATCACACCATCTGCCAAAGAAAAACTTAGGATAAACTAACACTTTCAGAAGGTTTAAACTCAAGTTACCAAAGAGAATTGCTTTCTTTTCTTTCAGAAAACTGAACAAAATCACAAAGTGCATCAAGGATTCCAGCTAACATTTCTGCTGCTGTTATCATGGAAGTATATTTCATGGAATAATTTCTCAGAAAATTCTCTCTTTAATCTAAGTGCTTGTTTTGGCTGTAAAGGTTCCTCCTTGCACCTTCTCTAAGCAGATGAGGATGGTCACTAGCAAAATAAAAAATTGTGGTAAATATTTGAAGAGCATGCACAGCAATACCATTTCTGCAAAGCTGTAATCATACATTCTTTTATCACATACTGGCATTGGAAGCCTGCGCAACACATGGGATGAAACATAACCCTGGTTACATGTTCCTTTTACATTGCTCAGTCTCACTGCACAACACTGAAATATCCTCTTCTGCAGCATATATAAACATTACATGTAGACAAACCAAGAACTGCAACAACTCCTGCCCAAGAAACAACCTGAAAATTCAATTCACAACGGCTACAGAGTCAACAGTCACTCCACTCCTCCCATTTCCAGAGGAAATTACTTTTATTAAGCTTTTGAGGGGTGGCACTACTGAAAGCAGGCTAAACACACATTCAAGACCACACCTATCATTTCATTGCACAGAACAGTTCATGAGAGCTTTCCAAGGTGAAGCATTAGGACAATGCTGTCATGCAAACAGTCTTTCATGTACCACCACAGGTGTCTTTTTCATATTCAACAGCAGAAACACGCAAAGCAAACTGCAATTACAAACCTCAGCACGAGCAAGAAATAAAAGACAATGAAGAAGATTTTACCCACCTGGGATCTTTCTGAATGCTATCAATGGAAGGCGACCTAGCCAAGGTCCCTTCGGGTGGGATGGCTGGCCCAGATTTGCTGTATGGTGATTCAACAGAAGGACAATACTGCAGCTGTCGGTAGGGGTCTGCGTAATTGGAGGCTGGGCCGGCCGCATAGCTGGCCCTCTGGAAGGTCGCGGTTGCGTTCTGTGTGCCGTGTTGACTGCCTGTGCGCTGTAAGGGTACGGAGTCGACACCAGGGGAAGATGGGGCTACGACAGGAAAGTAGGGACAAAGTAAAAAATTGAGGACCTGTTCACAGAAATGGTTAACCAGGTCTAGGCAGAGGAAAAAAATAACACACACATATAAAAGGAGGGTTCAAAAAGAATGAGAAAAAAACAAACAAAAAGAAACAAGCAATATTGTCATTTTCCAAATCTTAGAAGGAAATAACCATCAAACAAATCTCTAAATCATATGCCAGTTCTGCACTAGAAGACCTTAACACCAATTATATATTGGTGAATTGATAGAAGAGATTGTAGAAGTATTTTCACCTAGGGTTCTAACTGCACTAACTCAAAATAAAGTGCAGAAGCAGCATGGGAATATTCAAGCTAAGGTTCACAACCACCACTGAGTGAGGCTTTTGCAGTCCTTACAGGGGTGGAAGTCAGTCAGATCCAACAACAGAAAGAGGATCAAAGCAGGCTCAAGAGTCCCAACTGAGAGAGACAGCTCTACAGCAGAAGAAATACCCAGCCAGCCCAGATCTGTAGCCCTCATATCCATAAAGCAGGTAAAACCAGACACTTCCTACTGAGAGTCACTACATATGTTTTGTTAACCCATCTCCTGTGAATCCATCTTAAATTAAGACTTAGGAGAGTGTTATTGCTAACTCAGTCTGAAAAACAGCTAAGTACAAGGTGACCAAGTAGATGTCTTAATGCACACCAGCAGTGGCTGCGCTCATATACCACAGCTCAAGATTAATGCATTACCAGTTCTGAGCAGCTTAACCAATAGCTTTAAACTGACTTAATGCTTTTGAAACTCAAAAATCTTATTAATCTCTCTTGTAGCCCATTATCTTTCTGTTACAGCACTGGGTAGTGGAGATCCAGTCCACTGGATTAAACATCCAGTATTTTTGAACCAAAGTCCAGTTAATGGCAAATGGATTATCAATGTAAGGGCAAGAGGATGAATACCCACACAATCTTTGGCCTGGAGACAGATATAAATTAAATGCTGGCTCTGCTCAGAAGAAAATTTGGACTGTTTAAAGTAGCACATGGTGGTTGCCATTTCCTCCTGTCCCAAGACAACAAGAATACTTTTGCCAAAAAGAGTGGCCTCAGTCCAGGGCTATTTTTAGCTGGGTTAAATTCATATGCTAAACTGCAGACAAAACCACATACTGAAGAGATATGTTTTTATAACATATTTCTCAATCAATTCTCATTGGCATGCACATTTAAAAATAAATATTTAATGCACTATAGGTCCATGAAAGGGATTTTATGCATTTTATCTCAAAGCGTCAGCAAATTAAATAGAGTGAGCTTTAAACACATTTACCATGGTTTTCGTACTTGTCAAAATTACAACACCTGAAAATTTTAAGTTTATATTGAATTTTTGACTTTTTAATTTTTTTTCTTATGGTTGTTAATGATTTAATTGTACAATAGCAAGTATCATAACTTTATTACAAACATCAGAAAGTGGATCACCCATTTATCTGTTACCCCATCCCTGGAAGTGCTCATGGTCAGGTTGGATGGAGTTTGAGCAACCTGGTCTAGTTGAAAGGGTTCCTGATCACTGCAGGGGGCTGAAACTGGATGACCCTAAAGGTCCCTTCCAACCCAAACCAGTCTATGATTCTACAATCACATTTTATCACATATATAGCAACATTCTACATTTACTGTTTTGGTTTAATTATTAGCGTGTGTATATATATACACACCTCCTTAAGAAATGAGTAGTTAAGACACATAGACGTTTTCATAAAACTGTATCAGTTCAAATACATTAACAGTATCAACATATTTATACATCCCATGCATTAATACTGCTAAATTCAGTGTTAGAAAGAAAGACAAACATCACATTTTAACAGAAAATAGAGTTCAAAACCAAAATCAGGTTCCTTGTGAGAAAAAGAATAATAAAACAAGTTAGAGAAAATACTAGAAAAGTTTTCAAGCGACAAAGAGAAAATGTAATTATGTACTGACATAGCATACTCTTAAGCACTGTCATTCCATAGAATATGCTACTACCTTTTGATAAATTATAAGGGGAATTGCAAAAAAACTCTGCAACACCAATACTGCTGAACTTCATCGTAATGTTGATTGCTTTGCAAAATATTCCACTGTTTCCTTCATCTTCTTTGCAAGACAGTTCAATGGAAATCATGTTTGTTTTTAAATTATTTGAAAAGTTTTCTATTTTCTCTTTCGTCTTGTTATCAAAATAGGTATTTATATGAACTGAAACTGGCTGCCATTCTAATACCTACAAGCTTCTCAAGTCACTGATTTATTTCTCAAATGACCTTCCTAGCAGACTGTTACTTCCTTTTGAATTTTATCACAATGAACATAGAGATACCATGTTCAGAATATGAGAATGAGACAAATCTATGACTTAAACATTCACAGTTGTGTTTATCTGGACAGTGTTACCCAGATCAATTAAAAGATAAACAAAAAACCCAAAGAACTAACATTTTAGAAGAACTTCTACATCTAACTTGACTACATCCACTGTCATTGACTGTAAAAGGGTTATGCTTTAGTAGACATTTTTACAAAAACAAGTGTATGTAAAACTGAAGCAAAGTCGTCTTCTACCAATACACTTCCCTTGCTTAAACAAATCCCTTTGGCAACCAAACCTACCGACTGAACTGTGGCTCTTTCAGGCTATGGCAAACTATTGAGATCTCCCTTCTATTTAGCTAGTCCAACAGCAAAGCCAGAGTGATTATGTCTCATGAAACAAATTCAGAAGTCAATTTCCTCACCTAACATAGTAAATCTTGTCTGAGCACAGGGCATCTGAAGGCACATACCTGGACTGAACCAGAAAGCATTCACATGCCAGGTACATTTGCAGATGGTCATGCAACCTTTTAACCTATTATTCAATTGAAGACACTTAGCCCTTTCTGTAACTTTTGCATTTCACTGTCCACCCAAGCCGGCTACACTTTGACCAGAACCAAGTCAGTTTCAGTGACATGACAAGGATAGGGGGTTTGCCCTAGCAAGGGAAGATAGGGACAAGAAGGAATTGCAACAGTACCGTTTCTGGAGAAATGGGCTGTTTTTCCCTCTCCCACCAGCCTGAGATCTGGCCTGGTTGAAGCAGAATCAAAGTCAAGTCATGTTTCCCTGGGTCTACTGCTGACCCTATTCTGCCTCTACATAAAGGTAAAACCAAAAGACATAACCACACTGTGAAGAAGCAGGTTTAGTCTTGTGAATCTTGAAGGTAAAGGTGTCCACAAAATCTGACCTTCATCTGGTCTTCCGAAGTCCCAAAAGTCACAAGGAGATCAAGATTAAAATCAAATAAGCAGAAGGACTCAAAACCTTATTTATCCTCTATTGTGTCTTACCTAAGTGACCACCCATGAAAACACTCCTTTCAATAGTGACTGCTCTCCTCACTTTAACAACTTACTAGGAAATTCAGTGGATTCTGAATGTCAGGTAAGTTTCTGAAGCTCTGCTTGCTCCTTTTGCACCTATCTGCCTCCCCACGGCTCCTTCCTGGGACTGCTCAGCACAGCGGCTTTGCAAAGACACAAGGAAAGGGTGACTGACACCTGACCTTCCCTACCAAGTGCCTCACTCCAGACACACAAGAGGGGATTACATGGTCTGTGACCCGCAGCTAAGGACAGCTCATGCTGCAGGGAGAGCCATAGCACACCCTCTCTGCAGAAGCCAGTAAAGACCCAGTACAAAAAACAACATGCTCAGTGGTAGGCCAATAAATCCCTATACATTATCAATATTTTAAATTTCAGTGTAAGAACAGTCCTTGAAAAGGAGAATTTTAATTTTGGGTTGAGAGAAGTGTTTCACTGAGAATTTCTGAAATGAGAATTTTCCAAGTGTGCATTTCACACTGTGCAAATCAAGAACTACAGTCTCAGTGATCTCAATTTGTCCCCTAAACATTTAAGATCTTGCTTAAATCTGTCATGTCATTAATACCTAATAGATACTGTATCATCTCAGCCCCTCACTACTACAACCAAAATCACACACCCAGCAAATAGAGTATCTGGGGTACCACACAGACATGTAGTATGTTCTTACAAATGTTTGTCAAAGAGAAAGAAAAATAAATAAAATTAAAACTCTCCAAAGACCTGATATATGCCCTGATTATGGTTCTCTTGATTGCAAAAATAGCATATAGAAAACCAGTCTTTATAATTTTCTTTGGCTTCTACATAGTATTAACAAAGATATCACAACTTTTATATTAATGCTGATAATTTCGGTTTATCATTTAATACGCTCATAATGTGATACTCAGAAGCTGACTTTCAGTTTTTGAATGTCCTTTTCACAGCTGTGGCAGATGTTAGAAATCACTAAAAAAATGTAAAAAGCAAGAACGCCTTGATCTAGGCAGGGATACTATTGCACCATACCTGAGTATCTTAGGGAGTTTGCATATGAACTGCTAAAAATTTCAGACTTTCTAGAGGACATTTTGCCCAGTTAATATAAGAAAGATCAGACCTTCAGAAATTATAAACTCATTAATGAGAATTATTTTGCTACACCTGCTTGCTGAAAATTACCTCACTGATGCTGCTGTTTGATTTGCAGGTATTACCTTGTAAAATTTTCCTCTTATTATTTGATATTAGACATTCAGTTCCTGTGCTAATCTTCTCCTAGTTTCTTTCACGGAGATTTCAAAATTATTTTCTTTGTTTTCTCCTTTTATTTTTTTTCTTTGCTGATTTGCACTTGTAGTTGATTTATACTCTCTCATGAAAGTTGAAAATTGGATCCCAGTGAGATATTTTTTCAGTACAAAGTATGTCCACCATCCCTCCATGAGTTCATAAATGATATAAATGAAGTGCATTCTGTTGGTACCAAATTTATAGAAATATTTATAAAGCAGATACTTTTCCCACCTATAATACATCTTAAAAGTAACACAATGCATTCTCTGTCAATTAGAAAAAAACTCATCAAGCTTGGGACATACAAACACT